ACATATAGGAATCAGTTGGAGGGAGCGGGCTGGGGAGCAGAATGGCTGCTTTCCTGGCCGCTGGATCATCTTCTTCTTAGTTTAGCTCCTATTTTGAGTGTGCCATCGATGACACTGGAGCGATTCCCATGTTCACTCACAAGTGTCTACTGAAGAGTAGCACACAGGTCTCCTTATCGTCAGGAGCTGATAACCAGAAGTCACCCTACTGTGCCTGTGCTGATGAGGGAGAGGTGGCCCTGTTGCTGGATAAGAGGTCCCATCACCAGGGCTGGCTGGAGAGAAATCGGGTGGTGGTCCCTGGTATCAGGACTGAGCCCTGGTGGCAGCAGCAAAAGTAAATGCAGTGTCAGTGGGCAGCACCTCTGTGAGGCCACCTGGAGCAGTGACGGGACTACCAGGACCACTGAAGACAGACATTTAAAAATCCTGAGAAATGCTCATTTGTGGAGTATAACAACAAAGCAAAATGAAGGGACAAAACAGCAGCAGACTCACAGACTCCAAGAAGGGACTAGTGGTTACCAAAGGGGAAGGGAGGTGGGGGAGAGCGGGAGGGAGGAGGGAACTGAGGGGCATTATGATTGGCACACATGGTGTTGGGGGGGCATGGGGAAGGCAGTATAGCACAGAGAAGACAAGTAGTGACTCTGTGGCATCTTACTATGCTGATGGACAATGACTTCAGTGAGGTGTGGGGGGGACTTGATAATAGGGGTGAATGTAGTGATCACAGTGTTTTTCATGTGAAACCTTCATAAGAGTGTATATCAATGAAACCTTAATAAAAAAAAAGAAAATCCTGAGAAATGACAGGCAGGCAGCAGGATGAGTGCTCTGCCCATCTATCCAGAGGGACCCTTGTCTATGGACAGCAAACTCCCAGAACTGAAGGTACTGTACTTGGGCTGCAAAAGGTACTGCACCAGAACTCACACTCCTGTCATCAATCCCACTGTTGTCTTTACATCAAACTGCCTCTTTGGCTTTCGCTCATGTGTGAACACTCACTGAAGGCCGCATGAGGTATTGGTGTGGGTACATCCAAGGCAGTTGAGGTACATGTAGAGGAGACGTCAGAGTGACTCTCAATGTAAGCAAAAATAAACAGGCAAAAACTGTTAATTGACTAGAAACTACTGTTTCACCCAAAAATCTGAGAATATTCAGCAAAACCCCAAAAAAGTTTAACAGTGCCCCCTCAGAAAATAGGAACATTAGGAATAAACTACTTAAAAACATGAGTAACTCTTAGCTCAACAAATAACCCAATTTAAAAATGGGCAAAGGATTTGAGCAGATAATGATCTAAGAAGATTTACATATGGTCAAAAAGCACATGAAAGAGGCTCAGTGTCCTGAGTCACCAGGAGGCCACCCACACCCTTAGGTGGCTGCACGCCAAGCAGAGGGCCACCCGAACACAGCTGGGCAGGTCCTCCAAAGGGTGACTGCAGCAGTTACCATGTGTCCCAGCCACTCTCCTCCTAGGTGTTCGCCCAAGGGCACCAAGACACAGCCACGAGCGGCACACCGGGTTCCCAGCAGCCAGATGGTGGGAACACCTCGATGGCCATCAGCTGATAAACAGATGACAAATGTGTGCCTGCACCACAGGACATGATTCAGTCATAAAAGAAGTAACTACAGCTACACACCAGAACATGGAGAGGCCCTGGGAACATGTGAGAGCAGCCAGACACAGAAGACATACACTGCATGCTTCCATTTACATAAAATTTCCAGAGGAGGCAAGCCTACAGACACACACACACATTAGTGGCTGCCAGTGGCTGTGGGTCAAGGAATGACTACTAGTGTGCACCATTTCTTTCTTTCTCAGGTGGTGAAGATTGGTGATAGTTGTGTAACTTTGTAAATATACTAAAACTACTGGTTTGTACACTTTAAGAGGGTGAATGTTACAGTATATAAATTATATATCAATTTTTTAATGACAAAAATTAGCAGTGAGAAACTAGAAATACATCACAATAAACAAGTAGGGTTTATTTAAAAAATGTAAGGATTGTTCACCAGAAACTACTGACATAAGTCAAAGTTGAAGGAAAAAGCCATACTATAAAATTATATGCTGAAAAGACATTTGGTAAAATTAAGCAGCATTTATTTTTAAAAAATCACACACACACACACACACACACACACACACACAGAGGAATGTTAGCCATAAAAAGGAATGAAATCTTGCCGTTCACAGCAACATGGATGGACCTAAAAGGTATTATGCTCAGTGAAATAAGTCAGACAGAGATAAGACAGATACCATATGATCTAAGTTATTATGTGGAATTTTTAAAACAAATGAACAAACAAAACAGAAATACACTCAGAAACACAGAACACACTTGGTGGTAGCTTTAGGGGTGGTGTGGTGGGCGAAATAGGTGAAGGGGATAAAAAGGTACAAACTTCCAATCATAAAATAAATTAGTCACAGGGAAGAAAGTAAAGCACAGGGAATATAGTCAATAGTGTTTAAATTTGTATGCTGAAAGATGGTAACTACATTCGTTATGCATTTTGTAATGTATGTAATGGCTGAATCACTTGTAGATTTGAAACCAATATAATATTGTACATCAGCTATACTTCAATTTAAGAATAAAAAATCATAAAGGAAAATAGGGACTACAAAGAAACTACTCACATATATTAAAGCCTATTACCAAAAACTATTTGCTAACACTAAACAGAGAAATATTAAAACCATTGCAATCATAGTAATGTGCCATACAGTTGGTCAAATAAGTACAATTAGATAAGAACACAATGGGCATAAAATCAGAAGGGAACAGAAAACTATTATTTTGTGCTGATGATGTAACTGCATACCTAGAAAACCTAACCGGCTCAGTAAAATGTACCAGTAGTAATAAGATTTGATAAGTTAACTGCATATGAAATAGATGAACATAAATCATAGCTTTCTTGAACATACCAATAGGCATCTAAAAATGCTTATAAAATCATATAGAACACATAGGAATGTTGCTTATAAAATCATATAGAACACATAGGAATGTATTTAACAAGAGAAGCATAAAATCTATATAAACAAAACAAAAATTTTATTGAAGGGCATAAAAAAATTTGAAAACATGAAAATAAATACCTTATCTCAGGTGAAAAGGTACAGGACTTTAAAAATTCAGGTCTCTTAAACAAATATACAAATGTAATGTGATTCCAATTAAAATCCTCACAGCTTTTAAAAAATTCTATAAAATGATCGTAAACTTTATACAGAGTAAATGCCAAAACAATTGCAAAGAAAAGAATACAAGAGTGGAGAAGAGGGTTTTGTCTTAACAAATCTTAGAGCAGATTATGAATACCACTGTGATCAAATCAATATATTATTAGAGTAAGAACAGATATAAAGATCATTGGAAGGGAATAAAGAATACAGAAATAAATCCCAGTATTTATTGTATGACAAAGGTAGCATTTCAAATCAGAGGGAAGAGGATGGATTATTTAATAAACTGGTGCTGGGACTAGTTAACATTTTGAAAGAAACTACAATAGGACTCCTACCTTATGCCATATACAAAAATAACTTCCTGATAATTACACATTTAAATGTGAAACAATGAAATATATCTTGGAGACCATGTGTCCAATATAGGATCTGAGAAGACCTTTTTAATTAAGATGAGAAATTCAAACACTGTTGTGAAAAAGCAGATATACTGAACTATACACAAATGTTAAACTTTCGTGTGGCAAAAGCTAGTGATTCCCAAAGTATGGCAGCGCAGCGGCACCTGGGAGTTCAGAGCCTCACCTTCTGCCCTAGACTTACTGCACCAGAGCTCTTCACGTGCTCCCCGTAACCTAGGTCCAGTAAGCTCACCAAGTGGTTCTGATGCACAGCTCGGGCTTAAGGACTACAAAGTCAATGGACAAAAATTAAATTTTGGTAAAAGGTAACAAAATATTTGGTAACAAAAATAACATTCAGAGGTTAATACTTATACAAATAGATTTTATAAGTTGATGGGAAAGAACAAGTAACCAAACAGAAAAATGGGCCAAGCACATGAAGAGCAATGAGAGAAGAGCCAATCCAAATACGATGAACAAAAAAAAAAATGTTTAAACTCAGTGCAGTCATGGAAGTGCAAATCAGCATGGCTGCACTTTATACCTGTCATGGTAGGAAAAACAAGAGCAGCACCACCTACACCGGAGGGAGGAAAAGGGGTGCTCCCAACACTGGGGACACATGTGAGTCTACACGGCCTCTGTGGAGAGCAAGCTGGCAATCCCTGTAAAACCGCAAGTTCATCCATTACTCAACCCATATGTCGCACTCCTACGGTATTTGCCCCCGGGAATACAAGCACTCAAATGCAAGGGTATAGGGATAGGATGTGTACTGGAGCGTAATCTGTATCAGAAAAACTGAAGTCCAGGAGAATGCCCCTCCCTAGGCGCAGCTGAAGAATTCTGGCGCGCCTGCAGCATGAAATACAAGGCGACTATTAAAAAGAATAATCAGAACAAGAGGATCTCAACATAAGCAGCACCAGATTCACCTGGAGGGCTTATTAAAACTCAGAGTGCAGGGACCTGTCCCCAGAGTTTCTCACTCAGTATATCTGGATGGAGCCCAATGGGCCATACTTTGAGAATCACAAAAACATATTTAATATGACATGAAATTTTTATAAAATGAACAATGACTTCCCAAATCCTACATATTATGTGTATATGCACATAAAGAAAAACATGGAAAATAGTAGGAAATTAACATGGGTGTACTTGTAGGGTGGTGGACAGGGAATAACAGGATGCTTCTGCAACAGTCTATATACATGTAATGTGATCACATATTATGCTAGTCTGTAAAATTATTTGTGTGTAGTATGTATAAAGGAAGAAAACAAAAAAGTAGTTTCCAGCCTTTTACTCCTTCATCTAAAACACAGTGATAGGGAAACCTACCCCACACTTTTTTGGCATGAGCATACCTGGTATGAAGACACAGGAGATGGAAGACATGGGGAGTGCAGACTGAGAGAGCATTCTGTGGGGGTGATGCTCTATGGAGCTGGGTGAAACCTGTGGGAAGGAGCTGCATCAGTAAGAGTCACAGGGAACCACAAAGTGAGGGCCCAACTGACAGACACAGGCACTTCCCACTATTTAAAAACAAGGTGAAACATATGGGTGTCTGGACACAAGCTGTTGTAATTTTCATGTGGCCTGGTTATAAAAAACACCCTCACCCATTCTGAAGAGCTGTGGTGGGGCGATAGGTCAAGGCCATACCATCCTATACAGAAAGAACACGGTGTTCACACGGACAGCCCTTGGGTGAGGACAGGAGAATGTCGAGGCTGGGATGGATTTGGTTCAACTGATTAAAGTGCAGTCTGACAAGTCCCACTGCAGCTGTCCCAGAACTTTTCTGGTTGTGCTGTAAAGTCCCGCTCAAGACCCACGCCAAAGAGCACCCTCTGCAGTCAGGGTCTCTGTTATATCCTGCAGCTCTCAAGCTCGCCATGTAAGCTCACAGACATGAGACAATGGCAACTTCTGACCCCTCTGATGTCCTTAGTGCCCCCAGCTTCTCCAAGGTCCTCTTATCATGTCTCCATTCCTTGGCCAAGCCCATCCATTCTGCACAAATTTTCCTTGGTTCTGCTGTTTTTTTGGACCACCATCAGCAAATCTGAAAAGCAAGGGATCAGGTGGGCCTGCCAAAAGAGAAAGCAGGCAGGCACTGGGTCCTGGCCTCACACAGACTTCTCAAGCTCAGGCAGACACCTCCAGAGCTTTTTCTGCAATCAGCCTCTTAGCCTGATGCCCAAATGCCTCACCTCATCCTCCAGGGGGTGTCTTGATGTATTTTCCATTAAAGTGGGTGATGATGGCTTCACACTTCTGTGTGGACTCCATCATAAGGAGCAGAAGAGGGGTTAGGCTCTAGTTTCTCCAGAATCTGTGCTCTCCCTACATCCAAACAGTAAGTACTAAATTCCCAGCCCCAGAAACGCTCCAAAAGTTGTGACTACAGAAACACAGTTTCCTCCACACAATTTCACAGTTATCTTGAAGAGGCAACCCCAGCTTCTAACGAAGCTTCTCCCAACTGGTTACAGGGGGCCCAAAAGAAGTAATGGAGGCCTTCAAGCGATGAATATTCCAAAGATACTGGTGGATGGGCCTACAATTGTGTCTGGAAACTACTGAGTTAAAGTATCTTGTTGTGGAAAGAGGACTGAGTAAGGAATCAGAGAATCTAGATTTCAGCGCCAGTTCACTACACAAAGCTCTGGGAGTTATAGGACATGCACAAAAACCCTTTGGATCCATTCTTCATTTCTGCTTTAGATGTAATATCCATCTACCCTACTACACAGGATTGTATAAAGCAAATGGGATAATATATAGACATATGTTCTAAAAATTATAAGGTCTATATAATACAAAAGATAGTATTGTCCACTTTCTCCACATTTAAAGTCTCAGGATATTTTCAATGCCAACAGCCACTAAGAATATGAGTCATTCCTATGAGGGCAGTCACTAAAAAGGCCTCAAATGGAAGCTTTTGGAGAAAAGCATATTAGGGGCCCCAGCATTTAGCTGGTTTGCTCCTGCTCCGTAGTCTTTCCAGGGAGCGCAGACACATCAGCTCCCTCCAGCTGTTCCCTACAACTGACCTGCCTGTGGGAGGGAGCGCTCCTGGTCACCAAAGGTCATGGCTGAAGCTCCTTACTACCAGCCCTCTTGTTCACTTTGTGTACATCCCCAAACATAAGTACTGACTGACCAGAGTTGCTAATTTTTTTGTTAAGTCAGATGTTTTCAGTTTTCCTTCCAATAAGCTGGAGGACTCAGCAAGTTGTTAACTGACACACAAAAAGGTAGATTTTGATGAGATCACCTTGGTTCTTAGCATATAATTCATAAGGAACTCAAAGAATTCCTATTTTTAAAAAAGTCTCTCCATTTCCATTTACTTATTTATGTGAATACAATCTCTCCAGCATGAAAATAAAAAGCAGGAACAGAACTGATACTAAACCTTATCTTGTTATAGCAATAAACAATATTCACTGATAGCTACATGACCTAATTGGAAAAATCTAAGCAAACTAAAGCTTATACATGTCACAGGAGAAGCATTTCCAATGAATTTTATATAATTTTTATCAACATTTTAATATATTTATGTTGTTTTGGGCAACTGTGAACTAATAATGATAAAGATAATTTTCCTATAGGTTAATAAAATATATATCCTCATGATCACAAGGAAAAAATTCAGTTTACATACATATTTTTGTTGCACTGAAGTATGACAGAGTGATCCATAAAAAGACTTTCAACTATAAAAACATTACATACAAGAATATAATTCTTTAAGAAAATAGACTGGAAATACAGTATCAAGAAGAAAAAGGAAAACTATTAGAATGATGTAAAAGTTAGGACTATTAAAAATGAACTGCCTGAAGGGAAGAGCCAAGATGGTGGCATGAGCAGAGCAGTAAAAATCTCCTTCCAAACCATATATATTTTTGAAAATACAACAAATACTACTATTCCTAAAAGAGATACCAGAAGATACAGGACAATAGCCAGGCTACATCCACACCTGCGAGAACCCAGCACCTCATGAAGGGGGTAAGATACAAGCCCTGGCCTGGCGGGACCCGAGCACCCCTCACCCCAGCTCCCGGAGGGAGGAGAGGAGTCAAAGCGGGGAGGGAGTGGGAGCCCAGGACAGCTGAATACCCAACCCTAGCTATCCACACCGGGAGCACAGATACACAGTGCGTGGTGTGCTGGATACTAGGGAAACAGAACACTAAAACCTGTGAGGGAGTCCCGGAGCCGGCACCCCTGGGACAAAAGAAAAGCGAGTGCATTTTGAAAGTCTTAAAGGACAGGGACCCCACAGCTGGACAGAAGCATCCTGGCACACCCAGCTAGGCAGCTGGGAACCCAGGGAACTCCAGGCGCCCTAACCCCTTGGGCATCAGCACAGCTCAGAGGCCCCTCATGGCAATAAGAAGCCTCCTGTCAGTTCCCCCTCTGGCGACACTCCAACATAGCAGAGCAGCAGCCTGAGACCAGCCACACCCACAGCAGCTGCACAGAGCTGCCTCTGCAGTTGCCTGTGACTCAGAGACCCCATCGGCATGCAGCTGCCTAGCACAGGCTGTGAGGGGTTGTCATTCTCACAGGAGAGGAAGGCCACAAACTAGCAAGAAGGGACATGATTCTCTCACCTGACACACATGCCAACCCCCCACAACTACCTCTATCGCCATGAAAAGGCAGAAGAATTTGATATAGACCAGACTACCAGAGACAACCCCTGAGAAGGAGCTTGGGGTGACAGACTTAACCAATTTTTCCGAAAAATAATTCAAAATTAAGGTCATAAGCATGCTGATGGAGCTGCAGAAAAAAATGCAAGAGCCAACAGATAAAGTACGGAGGGAGAATACAGAAATAAAACAATCTCTGTAAGGACTTAAAAGCAGAATTGATGAGATGCAAGAGGCCATTAATGGAATAGAAAACAGAGAACAGAAATGCAGAGAAGCTGACACACAGAGATATAAAAGGATCTCCAGGAATGAAAGAATATTAAGAGAAGTGTGTGACCAATCCAAATGGAACAATATCGGCATTATAGGGGTACCAGAAGAAGAAGAAGAGAGAGAAAAAGAGTTATAAAGTGTATTTGAAGAAACAATTGCTGAAAACTTCCCCAAACTGGGTGAGGAAATAGTTGCTCAGACCACAGAAGCACACCGAACTCCCAACAGAAGGGACCAAAGGAGGACAACACCAAGACACATAATAATTAAAACGGCAAAGATCAACGACAAGGACAGAGTATTAAAGGCAGCCAGAGAGAGGAAAAAGGTCACTTACAAAGGAAAACCCATCAGGCTATCATTAGACTTCTCAACAGATCCAGGTCAGAAGAGAATGGCATGATATATTTAAGGCAATGAAACAGAACAGTCTTGAACCAAGAATAATGTATCCAGCATGATTATCATTTAATTATGAAGGAAGGATTAAACATTTCCCAGACAAGCAAAAGTTGAGGGAATTTGCCTCCCACAAACCACCTCTACAGGGTATTTTAGAGGGATTGCTGTAGATGGGAGCACTCCTAAGGCTAAATAGATGTCACCAGAGAAAATAAAATCACAGCAAAGAAAGCAGACCAACCAAATACTAACTAAAGGCAAAAAATAAAATCAACTACCCATAAAAGCAGTCAAAGGACACACAAAAGAGCACAGAATTAAACACCCAACATATAAAGAATGGAGGAGGAGGAATAAGAAGGGAGAGAAATAATCATCAGCCTGTGCTTATAATAGCTCAATAAGCGAGTTAATTTAGACAGTAAGATAGTAAAGAAGCTAACCTTCAACCTTTGGTAATCACAAATCTAAAGACTGCAATGGCAGTAAGTACATATCTTTCAATAATCACCCTAAATGTAAATGGACTGAATGCACCAATCAAAAGACACAGAGTAATAGAATGGATAAAAAGTAAGACCCATCTATATGCTGCTTACAAGAGACTCACCTCAAACCCAAAGACATGCACAGACTAAAAGTCAAGGGATGGAAAAATAAATTTCATGCAAACAACAGGGAGAAAAAAGCAGGTGTGCAGTACTGGTGTCCTTTGCTGTACAGAAGCTTTTCAGCTAGATATAGTCCCATTTGTTCATTTTTACTTTTGTTTCCCTTGCCCAGGTAGATATGTTCATGAAGAAGTCACTTATGTTTAGGTCCAAGAGATTTTTGCCTATGTTTTTTTCTAAGAGTTTTATGTTTTCATGACTTACATTCAGGTCTTCGATCCATTTCGAATTTACTTTTGTGTATGGTGTTAGACAATGATCCAGTTTCATTCTCTAACTTGTAGCTGTCCAGTTTTGCCAGCACCAACTGTAAAGAGGCTGTCATTTCCCCATTGTATGTCCATGGCTCCTTTATCCATATATTGACCATATATGTTTGGGTTAATGTCTGGAGTCTCTAATCTGTTTCACTGGTCTGTGGCTTAGTTCTTGTGCCAGTACCAAATTGTCTTGATTATTGTGGCTTTGTAATAGAGCTTAAAGTTGGGGAGCGAGATCCCCACCACTTTATTCTTTCTTCTCAGGATTGCTTTGGCTATTCGAGGTCTTTGGTGGTTCCTTATGAATTTTTGAACTATTTGTTCCAGTTCGTTGAAGAATGCTGTTGGTAGTTTGATAGGGATTGAATCGAAATCTGTATATTGCTTTGGGCAGGATGGCCAATTTGACGATATTAATTCTTCCTTGCCAAGAGCATGGGATGAGTTTCCATTTGTTAGTGTCTTCTTTAATTTCTCTTAAGAGTGTCTTATAGTTTTCAGGGTATAGGTCTTTCACTTCCTTGGTTAGGTTTATTCCTAGGTATTTTATTCTTTTTGATGCAGTTGTGAATGGAATTGTTTTCCTGATTTCTCTTTCTATTGGTTCATTGTTAGTGTATAGGAAAGCCACAGATTTCTGTGTATTAATTTTGTATTCTGCAACTTTGCTGAATTCCAATATTAGTTCTAGTAGTTTAGGAGTGGAGTCTTTAGGGTTTTTTATGTACAATATCATGTCATCTGCAAATAGTGACAGTTTAACTTCTTCTTTACCAATCTGGATTCCTTGTATTTATTTGTTTTGTCTAATTGCCATGGCTAGGACCTCCAGTACTATGTTGAATAACAGTGGGGAGACTGGGCATCCCTCATTTGTTCCCGATCTTAGAGGAAAAGCTTTCAGCTTCTCCCTGTTCATTATGATGTTGGATGTGGATTTATCATATATGGTCTTTATTATATTGAGGTGCTTGCCCTTTATGCCCATTTTGTTGAGAGTTTTTATCA